TGAGCATGCATGAAACCTGCCATCTGTGTATCTTGGATCATTAAACTGTAAGCTCTCAACATACAGTATCAGATCAAACAACCCCCTTATTTTTTCCATTGAGATTTTATAACTGCCCATGTTGGTACTTTTCTCCTTGAATACTTGGCCTAGTGACTCCATCTCCACAACCCTTTCACTCTGCTATTTTACTTTTATCCTTCTGCAAACTTTTTCACAGCTATTTCACATGACTTGGTCATTTCCTTAGAAGGCTGAGCCAAGGTTACGGCAGTGGGACCTAGACATTAGACACCCTTGAATACAGAAAACTAAGCCTGAGGTGGAGTTGGCTTACAGAAGAGATTATGGAGAGAGTACTTAGGGTATTTCTGTGTCTCCTGATGCTTTGTCTTCCTCCAACACTTTTCTCTTGATCTTTCTCTCATCTCCCTACTCTAATATTGCCTTCAGACACACTTTTGATATTTCTAAGTGAGAAGTCATTAAGTTTCTCCAGCAGTTGCACTCTACACTTGAATCCTCAAGGACATTGGTAGAAAAAGAGGCAGTCAGCACCACAACACCATGTTATTTACATAGTATTCATTATAATTCTAGCTGGGAATCATTTCTTCTATATTTAAGGAGCTATTGAACATCCTATAGGATTGCATTCAGTACAGAATCAGAGAAAAAAATATTGTTGTTGCTTTTCTTGACCTATCATCCGTTCCTGAATAACAGGGATGATGTCCCCCAACACTGGAGGATATTCTTTCAGAGCTTTCAAAATGGATCCTTAACCCCACCTCTGATGACTTAGCTTGAGCAATTCAGTTTACACAGGGCTTAAACTCAGGTTTTTTTGACACATTATTTCTGGATATTAGAAAGGAGATGTGATTAATTTAGGTTAGTATGTTATATTACTTTATGTCTTCTGTCATGTTATTTGATTGTTAATATAGAAAGATAATAAAAATTAAAATAATTTATTTCTAACACTGTAGCATGTCCTAAGGTTATAATTTATCTCATTACCAGAGCTATCTTAGTAGGTTAGCCTATGCATACTTCTTCATTGAATTCTGGAAGGTTTTTGAACCTTCAATAGCCATTCGTGATCAAAAAGTTTCTTTCTTTATGTTGTACTGCAATCTTTATCAGTTTACAGTAACTAAAGTAAAATAATTCTCAACAAAATGACAGATCCTTGTTACACCATCTTTAAGGGTAAGACACTCAAGATAAATGGCTTCTCAAAAGACATGCAGAGGTACCAGCTGGTGTGGGAAGGCTAGAACAGAGTGTCCAGACCAACAGATGAATCATTGATCAACAAAAGAGCCTATTATGAGACCTTTGCCCCACAAATAAACATTTGGAATATGGACAGAAAATTGGGATTGCTGTGACTTTACCTTCTCAGAAAAGAATAAATGCAGATACAGCACAGTTGTTTTTCCTTCGGTCTTCCTCTGCCCACCAATATATGCAACTCAAAAGAACACTATTAGTTATAATTTTATTTATTTATGTATGACATTAATGCTCATGTTCAGTATCAGAATCAGCATTTATAAAGGGACTTCTATTTCTTTAAACTTACAATCGCTGTGCCTGCACATTCTAGCTGAGTGCCAGTAATATAATATATTAATGGAAAGCTTTATGAAAGCTTATAGACCATGATTGAATGAGGAAAGACAAGGTTCTAAGGTTGGTTCTGAAGATATTTTAGTGATTACTGGCATGGTGCCGTAATTACATTTCTGGTTAATATTGCTACATCAGAGCTGATGCATAAAACAGATTTCTTTGTTTCTGTTTTTTTCAGTTCCTCTGAAAAGGGATTTAAGGGGATGTAGTCTCAGTCAAGGGCCATGCTAAAATACACAGTGACATTAACAAGTCAGTAAAGAGTTTAATGCTGGCCATCAGTATTGTACTCTATGATGACTTCTAGCATTTGTGGTTTTAATTCAGTCTTCTCTACTCCTGCTGATGCTGCTCAGGACATGTAACTGCACTTTGTGAGAATGAGATCAGCATATCTGCATAAAATGGTGAATGGATTGCTAAAAATCTCCATTTACACTTTCCTCCTAAAATCAGAACATTCCTCTTGTCATGTTGTGCCTCTCCAGCAGCCTTGCTATAACAGATGTTTCAAAACTTATTCTGGATCTCTGAATAGATCTGTGCTGCTTAACTGCTCCAACTCATTATATTATAAATTTGTTTCCTCTGTTTTAAATTTGTGCATAGGGGAGGTGTTTGGGGGTACTTTTTATATTCATGAAAAAGGAAAAAAAAATGAAAGTGCTAAGAAAAATGAATATTGAGCTAACACAGTCTATTTTTTCACAGAGTAAATATCAAGCTAATGCATCAGATTTATCCTCTATAGTAAATCAGCAATATGTCTCATTTTAGGCCTCTCCTATAACTGCTATTTTTTACTGCAGTATTCAGTCATGCTGATTTATGCCATACTATCCTGCGAATATTTTGCAGAGTATTATCAATAATACAATTTTATCTTTGGGTCCAGATGGAATGAGCTTAGAACACAAAGCAGGCAAAAAGCAGATTCCTGTCTCAAGTAGTCTACTGCTTGAAATAAACTTGGTATAAAAAGTGAGACAGGGACACAAGACATCAGGGAGTGGAGGATGGGATCAGGAAAGACATCAGCCCAATTAACAAAATATTTTGTTCTCTGAGGGCTCATGTACTCAGTAAGATGGTTCTGTTTGACTGGAAGGGTTTCATTAGAGTCATGGCAGGAATCCTTCTGGAGATTAGGACTGAATTAGGACAGTGAGTAGTGGCATCACAGATCTCCTTAGGATAAGTGCTTCTACATGTGAATAGAAGCAGCAGTCTCATTAGACTGCCCATATAAGAAATCAGAGCAACAGGAGAAGACTTGTGATACCAAAATAGATAAAGGACTCTGGTCCCACTTTCTGTGCTTGAGACCAAGTCAGGAATCATCTTGCTTTTTGTGGGCCTATATTAGCAATAGCATTCTTGCTTACTTAAGTCATGTAGTATTTCTTTGAATTGCGCTAAAGGTACTGCCTTTTTTGTTTATTGATTGATCTGCTGATACTGCATAGAGGAATTGCCAAAAGTAAAATTCAGTCATTTGCAATGGTACTCCTCCTCATTTGCAATACCATAGTTTAGATATTTGCTGTGGATTCTAGCTCCAACCAAGTCTAATCAGGATGTGCTCTCAGTCCTAGTGTTAGGAGCCTCAGGCAAAATATGAGTGAATAGATCCAAATGTCCAAAATTTTATCATATTTTGTTTGAATTCACCTCTCAACTCTGTGCTATATATTAAATAGTTCAGCATAAGCCTTTTTCTCTTTAGTTGAACTATTTTGATCTCAGAACTGTGTTTTAGACTGAACTGAGAAGTGTGCTGTCAGCCTTTTGAGTGGCACTTATTCATATGAAAAGTTTCTGTGTGTGCGAATGTATGAATGTGTGTTAATTTTCCACAAAAAACAATTCAGTTTAAATTATGTTATGCTTTATGTTCTGCTGTAGTGATTAATATTCCCTGGGGAAACATAATGAAAACACTTCATAGATAAGTTGACTAAAATTAATATTCGATACATCACTGATGTATTTTTACGTAGGTTACCTTTTGGAAAACTTGAAAAAGTGTTATAAAATTTCTTCTTTCAGAAGTGTGCATCTTCTTTGAAGACATCTACATACTTTTTCTTACAAACAAAGTTTTTTGGATGACATTCTCTGAAGTTGAGTTTTGGGAACTAGCTGCACATTTATGTTAGGACACGTATGAGTAGTTGTAACATGAAATCAATAGTCATTTTCATTGGTGGAACAAAGGATCTGACCCTTATCATGTGAAGGATGTGAAAATAAAGCAAGTCAGTCATGTTTATTCCTGATAATATTTACTGCGGTAACATGTTGGGATTCATATATACGTAAAAAGTATATTGCTGACAGATGTAGGGAGAGGTAGGAGAATGGAGAAGACAATGAAAAACTTTTGATGTCAAAGGGACTGCTGTTGATTCTGAAGTTCACCACTGTTGATGGGTCACTGTTGATAGGTCAAATCTCCACAACTGTTCCTCTTGATATCGGGAAAACTGTTAAAAACTTTATTCTGGTCGCAGTTCAACTTCTGATAATAAGTTTGAATCTCTGAACTGGGAGATGTCTAGTCAAGATGAAAACCACTGTATGAGTCTTCCATCATTTTTCTAAGGAAGAACAATAGCCATTCTAAAAAGTGGTTTACTCAAAACAGTGATCAGGATTGCATGTGAAATCAAATTCATTAGCATTGCCCCAGGCATACACAGTTCTCTCCTTATCATCTTCTGTTCCATAGTTTCACAGGAGAGAGTGTATTTCATTACATTTCGTTGAAAATTTACTTGGACTAATATCTTGGCAGCAGTCTACAAACTTTGCTAGGTTATACTGCTGCCAGCAAGAATAAAGAAATGGTTCCCAGTCTTCCATGAATAAAACTAAATTTGCTAAATTAAATATTTTTTTCTTGCTGTGATATCAGCCAAACTGATTTTTTAAATTTCACCCAAAACCATTTTCATGCAATTTGAACTCACTAAAACTTGCATCTAGACACATTTAGACTAGAAGATGCAAATTATGGAGAGCTGGGGTAATTAATCTCATACATCACTTGCCAAAGCTTACAGTTGGTGCTCATCAGTGGTAAACTCAAACTCAAGACGGGATGCATTTTTCTAGAAATCATGATGTAGTTCACCTATAGCTATTGATCAAGAAGCTGGAGTTACTGAAAGGCGTTAAGAACTAGAGCAGGCAAGATAAGATGATCACAATGCTGTCTTCAGGCCTTAAAATTAGTCAGCCTTGGTTTTTTACTTATCACTTACAGAGGCAAGTAGAAACCTTTCATGACAGTTTGTTACTGATTTTCAGTATACATCAAATGTTGTTGTTTGCTGTTTTTTTTTTCTTCCTGACAGGCGCTGATAGTTACAACAGTTTTTATGTTTTCTGCAAAAATTTCTGTCAAGCTGTGAAACCTGGGAAACTGAGGGTCCGCTGCAGTGCATGTAAACAAGGAACACTGACATTGGCAAGGGTAAGCTTTTTTATTTGTTTGTTTCAAGTTTTTGGAGTATATGGAAATGATATATTTAATGTTATCTGCATATCTATATCTATATCTATATCTATATATCTATCTATATATCTATATAGATATAGATATAGATATATCTCTCTCTATATATATATCTGCATAGCCACACATATAGCATATGTGTGGCTATGTATATATACATTTCTACTTAATTTTGTTCTTGTTGCTTACAACTGAGTAATTCAAAAGTTTGTGAAAATTTCACTCATCTCCATTATTTGCCGCACACACAAGGAACACATTGCAGACTAGATCTCCAATCCTGTAAAGACATTCTTAGCTTTATATTTTAAGGACTAATGATAAACCTGGTAGTATGCATAATGTGTACAACTACATGGATGCTAAGGAGTTAGAATTATAGATACTTGTCCAAAGGTTGGAGCAGTTGTTATGGCCACAGAAAGACCTGAATTTGGGTTTTGACTGTGATCATTGTGGAAAGAGATAAGGAGGGATTAGGTGGCTGGGCAGTTGAGAATATTAATCTCTTCAGCCTAGTTGCCACACGTAAAGTCAAGGGACAGTTACTGTGCCAGGACAGAAAGTTAATAGGAAGTCTGTCAGGCTTGGTTTGCATCCTAAAATGGGAGAGTATTGTTTGACTTGAATGTGCAGTAGTGTAAAGTTTTGGAATTTTTTTGTCTAAGTGATGCTGAATTTCACTGCTTGTGCTACTTGAGAAATGAGTGTCCTTCCTCTCTCATAAATCACAATGTTTGTCAACTGGGTTTATTACATGGTTTTGCAAAAGGCTGAGCCTTATCATGCTATAGATTGAAGGAAGGCAGGGGGAGCTTTCATATTTGGCACATTTAAGTGTTTTAATTGTCTTTGGCTGTGGTTTAAAGTGGTTCGTTTCAGCTACATGTCCTTGATGTATGCCAGTGCTTCAATGTCTTTACATCTAATAGTACCATGAAACCCTTTAAAAACCCAGTTCTTATATTCTCATTGAAAAAAATAAACCGTAGCAATGCTTATACACATCTGATTCAAAAAGCTACAACAAACCTCCTCAAGCTTTGTGTGCTATTTTGGAATTACCTGACTATCTCTGATTATTTCAGAGGCTTGGAAGTGTTGCATTTTGTGGTGTTCCAAATGAACTTCTAAAGGGATTTGTTTTCTCCCAGAAGTTGCATTTAAATATTGATGATTAGTATAGGCTTGAATCATATATAAGATACACAAGAAGTTGCCATAAATGTACAGTTCTAATGGTGTAATATTTAGGATGTATAAAAACACAGACGACATTGTATTCAGCTTTCATACAAGCAGTCAGTGCTGCTGAAAGACATTGCTGTTACCACTGGGTGAGTTTGAACCTTGTGTATTGCATTGACAGCACGCAACATGTGTCCTTTGCTAGACACAGTGACTTCCCACTTTTGGTAATGATGACTTTCACACTTGTGTCGTTTGGTTTAGAATTGTTATGTTCCTTATATTAAGTACCCCTAAGTAGATTTCCAGACTCTTCAGTTTTTACAGGATCTGCTAAATAGCATTCATTCTGGAGACTTAAAAAATACCCAACTTGTTTATTGTCTCCCAAGAATTCTTCATAACGCCACAATAAAAACCCTGTTGTAAAAAGTTCCAGTATGGCCTATTTCTAAATACACTTTTTGTATCTGATTGTCTGGAATATACGTGAGCCTACATTCTTTTGGCAAATACTGAGTCAATAATGCAATAAATATACACAAGCTGATAATTTCCATTGCATGAGCAGAGTGCAGCTACTTCTTTTCTCTATTAGCATATTTTACAGTAGATATGAAAAGAAAGTAGATGGAAACTCGTAGTGGAAACGTTTCTGATTTTCAGGATTGATTCAAAAAATCCCAGCTTTCAGAAGATTTGAGAAGGTAATTTAGCATAAAAGTACAAAAGAGAAAAGGGAAATATCTTTTACAGAAGAACAAATTATAATTTTTGTCTGTTTATTTTTTTTTAATAATACTTGGCTATGAAAATAATTTATACTTAAGGTTCTTATTACTTTCTCACCAAACCAAAATCTATTACTCTCTTCCTCTCAAATTTGAGTGGAAAATGGTAGTTAAGAACAGTGAGTCTGCTCTTCCAGTAGTTTGGGCTGGCAGTCCTCAAGACTTCCAACATGCAGTGTGGGCACACTTTGCCATGAATGTGCTATGCAGCAGTCAGTTTGTTTTACAAATACATACCATATACCTCAGTCCTGTGGTTATGGAAGTTAAGTTCAGATTTGGTATATGCCTAGCCTTGTAACCATGTAAGTTTCTGGTCCATCTTCCATGGAGACAGAAAATAATTCCAGCTGAGGAGGCTTGAAATATGTACTGAGCCCTGTCTGTTTTTCACTACAGTGTAGACAACTCTCTGCATTAATGCTAGGCAAAAGTGTGGTCTTCCCAGCAAGTGCGCTATATCTACTCTGCTTTCTTCAATGCATTTCAGTCTCCAGTAGGCAAGTTATGTCAGGCTGAAAATGTTACTGTCAATCACTTGACTTTTGTGCACATTAAAAAAAAAACAACAAACAAACAAACAAAAAACCCCAACAAAACAAAACAAACCATGCAAGCTAGTATATTCCCCCAAACTCTCTATTTTTCCTTTCCAATCCCACTGGACTATGCCAGTGATTGCTGATAGACACTTCTACTGGTACTACAATTATTTTCCTTTTATAGAGAAATTAGTCAAAATAAGTTGACATAAGCAAACTATAAAAAAGCTTGTCTGTACCACCATACTACAGATTCATCAGCAAAATCATTTTTTTAGGATCTTTTTTTTTTTTTCTTTCCAATTCACCATGAACTGTGCCTGACCTTTACACAGCAACACAGCAAGTTTCCTGAGAAGCTCTTCTGTGCCATAAGCAGCAAAGCACCATGTAAGCAAGTATTTGTTACACTAATTCTTTTATTGAGATGAACGTGAATACCTATGGAAAACCCACACAAAGCTTTGGGCAGCCTTAACTCACTCTACATGTTAAATCCTCTTCCTACCTAAACCGCAAGTGACCAACCTAATTAAACTGAGCTTTGTTTTTTTCATGGTGTGTTGACTGACATTTTAAAGTATTACTTATTCATTTAACCAGTCTTATTCTAAAACCTTATTTAACTGTCATGCCTATTTGCATAGCATTATTTTAATGTATGATGCTCAGAGTAAATTTATGATACCATATTTCTATGAAATTAAAGAGCCCACTGTTTTTATTTTTACCAAAGACATCAATCTAAATATTAAATTTGTAATTTTCCAGTTGACACGTAGGTTGGCGTTTTATGAACATTTCATGACCTAATACTTGAAAGGAGATATATGCCAGACTGATTTAATTAGAAGAAAACATCAGTCACTGCAAAAGTATCACCTCTCACTAGTTTCTCTAATTAATCAAGCACAAAAGCATGCCTGGAAAGATTGTAGTGTGGGAGTCTTATGCAGACCACCTACAAGTGTGCCAGCAACTTTCTTCAAATAGCTCAAAAATTTTAGTCATTAGATTCACACAGTTTTAGATTTTTTTATGCTTTTAAGCTTTTAAAAATACATATTTCATATACATACAATGCTGCAGTTTGTTTCAGTAGCCACGATTGAGATTTTCTTTCTGGCAAAAAAATGAAAAACACAAAAAAAACTGATTATAGCAGTCACATTGACAGTTCTTTTTTTGGAGCTATAGCAGTGTTAACATTCACAGTGTCAACACTATAATGAAAAGGAAAATGCATATCTGCAAATGGAAGGCTTGATTCTGCGAACTGGTATACAGCGAGCTATGCACATAAATCACACTTTTTCAATGTAACTGAATCTGTGATGTACTCCTGGTATGGAAGACAGTAACGTTTGACTCAGTATCTATTTGTCATAATACAAAATTCAGCCGGAGTAAGAATCTGGATTGAAGTGTGGTAAATAGACTTTAGGTCTTGACACTCAGCCACTGCCACTAAGGTGAGGCCATTTCTGTTGTGGGGACTCGTGACTCATTACTATTTGGTATTTCTTCACATTGTGTCTTTGGTACTACTGGTTGAGTTTTCAATATATCCTCTATTACAAGCACCAAAGTTGTTTTACACAGCTGCTTCTATAGTTTTCAAGTCAGATCTTTTCAGACATGGGGAGTTATATTTGGATCTGATTTAACTCTGTGCAACTGAGATCAGCCTTAGTTTCTGACACTAACAGCACATATGGATTTTATTAAGTGGCTGGTGCATACAGTCCTGCTGTTGTCCCTGCCCTCTGTACTCCAGAGAAGCCTCCTGAGTTCATGGGTCTTGTTAAACTCTCTCTGCCACAGAACTGCTCTTTCATATTTATCATATTAGGGATATTGCTTTCATTATTGGTTTTCATCTTAAAACTAACAAAGAAATGGACATTTGCTGAATTTTATTTCTCTGGCACCATGAGAAGCTTATAATTTAGTTAGCATAGGCTGTGTAGTACGTCACAGTTCTGCAAGGGAAAAAGCATTAGTGTCTTTCCAGTGCCTTCCACTATGGCAAATAACAGGTCATATCCAGTGTAAGTGGTCTTCCTAATAGATGATAGTGTAGTATTTTGAATTTGATACTTTCATATTTCCTAGGAAAACAAAGATCTTTAATACAGTCATTTGCTTCAAATTATTACTTCCTAACTCTGTTTTAATAGAGTTTTTTAAGGAGTGAGTTTTCTTTTAAATGAATATTAACTTAGCAGAGATTTTCAGTAATATAAAATTAAAAGGCAGTTTACTTTTGATCTCAGTTTATTGGGATTTTTAATGTATCATTGTGCAATTCCGTTCCACAGTGCACTACCTCTCATCACTGCTCATTTCAGTTCACATATTTTTCCTGGAATTCATTACTTGTATACCTGGCTCAGTGACAGAGAAAGAGAGGAGTACCGCTCACTGCATCGAGCCA